TCCGATGCCTTTAACCATCAAATTCCGATCTTGTAATGGTTTGGCTGTTCTCAAGATAAAAAACATCTTCGACTCAACTTGAATCATTTACGATAGTCACACAAAATTCAAGAAGAATAAAAATATCTTTTTTTAAAGAAATCATTGTTTGTAGTTTCAATACTTACAAAACAAATGCCTAGATGCGATTGGATTCGGCTGGTCGTGAAATGATGGGTTGCGATATAGTGGGAAGCCTTCTAGCGGTAGCTACAGAGCTATCACCTACCCTTGGCAAAGCTCATCGTCGTCTGGGTGATTGGGCCTTTTATTCTGCGGAGTCAACTGCAAATGAGAAGGACAAGCCATTGTTTGACAAAAATTACCGAGTAAGTAACATGTAGCATTTGGCTTGTATTGACAATGTATTTCTTCCAGATGCTTCTTGGCGATAACGTTCCACAATCGACCCTTGATGGCCTTTGGGATGCAATAAATTCTGCTAACTCAGTAGCACAACTTCGAGAGAATGTAATAGCTGCTTTACCAAACGATACACTCACTGCTGAGAGGTAATTTCCTAAATTTTCTGTCTTTTTGGATCACAAGGCGTTCTGAGAATGTAATTTGAATCCATTTTTCAGTTTGCTGATGAGTGACAGTCACTTTTCAAACCTCTGGGCCCAAATTCGGCAGCGACGCTCGCTCTTCTACAACTTATCAGTGTCTTCTTATTTCGCTTACATCTCTCAACTTGGTGGAAAGACAAGTAGTGGCCACAAGGTAAAAATTTTATCTGCTTCCATATAATGAGTTTTTGTGATGATAGTGATTTGCTTGCATTTTCATCTTTTTCTTATATTTTTGAAGCCAAATATCAAGTTATGACGGTCGCCTCATTTTATTTGTGCCATCCTTGAGTGAAAAATCTGCAGATTGATTAGAGTGCGGCTATTTAGGGTACAATTGGAAGTGTATCGGCCACTCTCAGAATACTTGGTTTATTGGCAAAACATGCTGATTTCCTCCATGAAGTAATCGACCAGGGTTTGCGAGCCACAAACGAAC